CATTGCCCCTGAACTTCCGGGGGCTCCGCCCCTAGACTCCACACCAATTTATGTTCCGCGAGCCTTGACTTGCAGACCTCAAAATAAACATATTTCTCGCCTGACTGTAACTTTCGGAATTCGTCATTTTCCAACAAACTCATAAAACAGTATAATTTACTAAAAGCATCATGACATTTTACGACATTTGTAAATCACTGAAATCGAATTAAAAATGAACCACTTAAGGGGGAGTCTGCCCCCCTTCGAATTAGTACGCCAGTGGTGTCTAGTGGCGTATCTGGCGCTTGGTCTCGTTTGGGGGAGGCGAGATGAGCGCGAAACCATAATTATCTTTTCCCCCTTTTCTTTTCCTCTTACTCTTTATTTTCTTTCCCTTTCTCTCCTCTTTCCCATTCCCTCCTTCCCTTCTTTCTTTCTCTCTCTCTCTCTCTCTCTTGCTGAGGGGGAGGGGGAGACAAGGGCCTTTCGCCCCCGATCCACACTTTGATGGCGGGAAAAATCGCAACTGATCTCCCCTACCTTTCTTCTTCCTCTTTTTTTTCTTTCCCTTTCTCATCTCTTTCCCTTCCCCTTCCCTTCCTTCTCTCTTTTTAAAGTTTGCTGGGGGGAGGCAAAGGCCTTTCACCCCCTACCCGAACCACATGTTGTTGGCGGGATTAATTGCATCTGACCCCCCTCCCTTTCTTTTCACCTGTTTCTTTTCTTTTTTCCTTTTTTTTTGTTCCCTTTAGCTCTGCTCTGTCCTTTTCCCTTCCTACTCTCTTTTTTTGTCCCCCCCCCCCCTGAGGATAAACAAATTGTTGGCGAGAAAATCGTAACTGATAATCCTCCTTCATTACTTTTCTTATTCCTTCCCCCCCCTTTCCTTTGACTCCTCTTCTCTTTTTTATTTCCCTTTCCTTCCTTCTCTCTTTTTGGGGGGAGAGGGGAGGGGGGCAACAGCCTCGGAGGCAAGGCCCTCAGTCGCCCCCCCCCCCCCGCTGATCTCTTCCCCCTCTTTTCTTTCCTCTTCTTTCTTTCCTTTCTCTCCTCTTTCCCCTTCACTTCTGTTCCTTCTTTCTCTAGCTCTCTCTCTCTTTTGGCGGGGGAGAGGGGGGGGGGAGACCCCTTCGGCCCCCCTGGATCCGTGCCTGGCCGTGGGTGTGTCCCCCATCCAATATGTACTGACCTGAGCAGTTTTGTAATAGCGAACAGGCGCCGTACGTACTGAGCTGAGCAGCTTTGTAACAGCGGACTTGATTGGTTGTCTTAAAATTCAATTTACGAGCGTTCTGCGCATCCGTCTGGCAAAGTAACAGGCGTGTGCTATCGCACCTTGCACGCGCCTGCTAAATAACAGGCGGTGATTGGTCAATTTAGCAGACGTGTGCCGCGTTCCATACGTCTGGGGCACGTGAATAAAGTCACCAACGGCTTTCCATAGGTAACGATCTACGTCAATGCGCGGTCTGTGTGCAAAACTTCCGAAAATAGTCTAGGTTGTAGACCCTAATCAAAAGAAATTTAATTCTGGAATAAAATGGTAAATCGATATTGTCTAGGGTTAGAGTAACTAAATATAATGTGTGAAATTGTATAATCATAACTAAAATAGTTTTTTCTCGAATAATCACTCAATTAATTATTCATATTATGTGCAAATGTTATGTAACTAGACTATATGTAAAATAAATATTACGCCATCTAAAGCTAATATATCTTTGTATGTTTGTAGTTAGCTTTTCAGTCAACAGCACAGAGGCCTATGAAGTGTTCATTGGTTTTACATCAGATTTAGAACTTTTCTACGATGAACTCAAGGGGGAAAATGCATTTTTGTAGTTTCTGTACGCCGCTTGTAGGCTAAATGGTTCTTCTACCGGTTTATATTAAAACCTAATCATTTCTTAAACATTCCGAGTTTCTCCAATTTAAGTGATGTGTGCACATAATTTATGCAAAACAAGAGATAAAACCGAGACTTTCATTAGGTGACCTTGACTTTGACCGTGACCGTGACCAAAAAGATCATTAAAAAAATCAAGAACCAAAACGAGAAAGAAAGACAGTTACACCGTGAATAGATCGTTGGGGCTTCAAAGTCATGAACGCATAGAGTGAACAAAAATCTGCAAAGGTATCGCCGAAATACAGAGCCAGGATAGTGATGCTCCTAATTATGTGGGAGAAAACTAACTAATTTACAGGTTACTACGGGTGGGGACTGAACCCCCCCCCCCCTCCCACCCTTTTAGGGTTGACTGATGAGGTTTCTACCAAAATTTCTGGTTTCCTGCAAGTAAAACGTTGTAACTCCGTTGTAACTTGTACAACCGCCTCTCCCCCTCCCACCCCTAAAATCTTAAAAAGAACCCATGCAGGCAGGGCAGTAAAAATAATTTTACCGTCCGTCAGGTGGCATTTCAACATTGAACTTTTACAGGCCTACTTTTTTGTCTATATTTAAAAGTCCGATGGATACAAAATGAATTTGTGGCATTAACAGAAAGGGTGTTTCAATTTCTCTTTGTAAAGCACTATTCTTATTTTAAAATTGTTTGAGTCTAAGATTCATTTCAAATTCTATAAAGAAAATTATTAAATAAACGGTGTGCTAAATACTGTAAATAATGTATGAAGCCACAAACAAAGCTGGCGAATCAGTACCGTTTTTTCATTTATCTGTTATGATTAATAAGACAGTTATTGTATATCTCAATAGTCAGAATGCGAATAGAATACATTGATTGTTGCTTGCCTAGGACAAACATATCGGCTTGCCCGACCTAGCAACACGTAATGTTTGCAATTTGCATTATGAAAACTGAAATACAATTATTCGTAAAAGGTGAATGAAATAATTCATAACGGAGGCACTTCACTACTCATCCTGCGTCAGTCCAAGAGATTCTGTGATGCGATCTGCAACTGGATTTGTTTGTTTAAAACTACTTTGTTTAGATGTAAAAACGGTACATATAGCGGATGCAACCCCCCCCCCCTTCCCCTCCGGGAACGGAGGGACCGCATGCGTGTTCCCAAAATCTCCGGCTCGCAACAAAGAAAAAGATCTGCCCGTATTGACTTTACACCCCGGACATATGCTGAAAGGGGGGGGGGGGGGAGGAGGGGTGGGGGGAGTAGGGGGGGGGGGTGCTGAAAAGGCTTGTATACAAAAGAAAAAGATCTACCCGTATTGACTTTACACACCGGACTTATTCAGAAAAGGGGGAGGTGGTGCTGGGAACACGCTTATGCGTATCCAAAATAACACTGAGTGGGGGAGGGGGGGGGGGGCGGGGATGCAACCAATTTTAATTTGAGATTAACGAATTATCTTTTAGTCAAAATAGGGGAAGAAAATGATAAAAAAAATTAAGCTGTAATATTTCAAATTTGATTTGATTTTGATGGATATTAAAACAAGACCCCCGTTTTTCAGCGGCCAAATCTGACACCGAGTCCCTCCCCTCACCCTTTCCCTTCCCGTATCCACTGCTACATCTCTCTTGCGCCTCACATCTTTGCCTCTAAAAAGGGGAAAGAATGTATAATAAAGTACATGGCTAGCTACAGATAAGTAGAATGATAGCAGTGAGATCTCCCTCCAATGACAAAACTAGTCTGCATTGTATAGACTAGGTGTGCATTCTGGAAATATTCTGACGTCACACAAGAATCTTAATGTTGACCGTTCCATTACTATACGGGGACAACTCCAAATAAAATTCACATCTTTCGTGTTTGAATCGAATATTATTCATCCTACATTACCAGAATGCTATTTAAATCAATAAAAATATTGTAAAATATTTCAAAAAAATATTGTCATAATACTCACTTTGCACACATAAACAATACCCCCTTGACAAAAAATAACTAAATTCACCCTTTGCATGAGTTCAAGGACCGAAAGTGATATTGATGTCACCATGTTGGTGCATCGTGCGAATGATGCAACGATACGATTGTGTGTTGGCATTTCGCCAGTGATTGTCATTGAGCGAGTTCAAAGATGATTCTTCATATCGAATGCGACAATGGGCATGCCATATTGGCGTATCCAGGATGGGGGGCTTTGACACCTCCCCCCCCCCCCTTTAAAAAACAAATTGGTAGAGGAGAATATTGAGGTACATTTTTAATTCCACTTATTGTTTATTTGGTGTATATGTTTAGATTATCCCAGGTTCGGTTTTGCCATGGCCCGGACCCCGAATCCACCCGATCGGCCCTCTTTTACGATAGTCCCTTGTGTTGTGTATATTTCATTTACCTACTGCTTAAAAAAAAAAAATTAAAAAAAAAAGGGGGGGGGGGTCCGGAGCGGTCTACTCTGTACATACGCCACTGAAGAAGCATATCAAAATGGAAGATGAAGGTTTATCATGCATATTTTGTCAATTATTTGATGTTAATTAGGTTATACAATATCATAATAGTCTTTCACACCATTCAAGCTCTGCAGAAAATTCGATACAATGTTATTGACCGGAGCAGGGCGGGGTGGGGATCGAGGATAGGGAGGGGGGGGGGGGGGGGGTTCACCCTAAAAAAAAACGCCATTGAAGAAGCATATCGAAATGGTAGATGACGGTTTATTTCGCCATATTTTGTCCATTATTAATGTTAATTAGGTTATAATACAATAGTCTTTCACACCATTCAAGCTCTGCAGGATTCGATACAATTTCATGTTACCACTTTGACGCCTTATAATACATATTTTGCAATATTTTCACACATTATAATACTTATACATTTGTTTAGAATTATTATTCCCTTTTGATTTATCTTTATTCAAAATAATGATTGATAATATAAATAATATGCCAACAGCCTACAAGTTAGAGAGAGAGAGAGAGAGAGAGAGAGAGAAGGGGAACAGAGGGAAGAGGAGTATGGGTAGCATAGGGAACGATGGACATAGTTTATCGATCTCAAATGCAATTACTTCTCTCCATTGAATTATGTTTTATGACATTGAATTATTTAAACAACAATGAACAATACTCATGCAATTTGATTAGAACTTTATTCTCTTTTTGATTTATCTTTATTCAAATGATTGATAATATAAACAATGTGCCAACAGCCTACAAGTTAGAGAGAGAGAGAGAGAGAGAGAGAGAGAGAGGGAGAGGGAGAGAGAGAAGGGGAACAGAGGGAAGAAGAGTATGGATAGAATGTACAGGGAACGATGGACATTATCGATCTTAAATGCAATTACTTCTCTCCATTGAATTATGTTTTATGATTTATGATGTATGTCGAATTATTAAAACCACAATGGTCTTTGTACACTGATCATCATTCTGTGTTTGTGTAATTTAACCATTTGCAATATTGTATTCTATAATTATGTATTTTTAAAATTTGCTTGTAAAATGTGAAAATTCAGTCATTGACTGCTAATCACGATTTGTATTATACATGAATAGAACAAGAAAGAAATCCTTTTCACCATCTAATCGAAAATGTCGCCGGCTTTTAATTGCTTGACCGACAATAACAACCTTTTTACCCTTCAATTTTATTGAATAAGACGAAAGAAAATGTTCGTATCAATCTCCACGCCGAAAAATAAAATGAAAAGAGAACCAGGTTACCCATTAGTAAAGTTAATGATGTATGAAATAAAATTAATGGGACTGAAGACAAAATATTATGCATGCACTTTATTTTCATAACATACAGGGTATACAGTGATGAGCGATGTGATATTACATAGAAAAGCTGACAGTGCGGGTTACCACTTCAAACAGGAACAGTTAATATAATTATTCACATAATCTCTAGAAATAAATTTTAATAGTGATCCGTTGTCAGACGAACGATGCACAGTACAGGTCAATCGCGCTGTTAACGATAATGACCTCATGAAATACAATGCGAAAAATCTAATCTGATAATAATGTCCGCAAATAACATCATACTCCTTCCTTAATTGACTTGACAAGAGAAAGAGAGTGAGAGAAGAAGAGAGAGAGAGAGAGAGAGAGAGAGAAGGGGTGAGAGAGAGAGAGAGAGAGAGAGAGAATAAAACACTTCTAAACGACGGGCTACAAGGAAGACAGTTCAAGAATACTTCAGATACATCTATATTTTTTACTATTCTCCTACCATCAGTATAATCATGTACTTATATTTTTCTCCTCTTAAAACCATTTCTTTGCCAATTTTCTTCAGCTTTTCTTTCTTCAATCAATAACGCTTGTTATGCATCAGGCAAGAAGAACTTATACCACCATCCACTGCCAACGTGTACGATCTCATCAAGGAGAACAACCACTCCTTCGCCAGGTTTAAGGTGGAGTTTGTTGAGCTCGACCCTCGAACTTTCACGCCCGCGGTCCGTGGATACTACCACTGAGCCTTGAAGGGGCAGTGAGTCGCCGTCACCGGTGTGGAAATAATCCACCTCACTGTCAATGCTCCCGAAGTTGAGAGCGATAAAGAAACGCTCCTTTTCAATGTCGATCTCACGGATATACGCAATAACCTAAAGAGAATGGAGGGAATATGGGAGAAGAATTTGGTTGAAAGACTGGTAAAATACGAGAAAGAAAATTGGAACAACTGCAGAATACCCCACCACACACCTAATCTAAGGCCTATGGTCCTTACCCTATAATCTTTAACCTAATCCAAGCCCTTTTCCTAATAGTTATTTAATATATTCAGGGGCGTACGCAGGGGGGGGGTAAGCGGACACATTTTTTTTTTTTTTTTTGGTCTCTAAATTTCATAATTTGACATTTTTTGTCGTTGGGGGGGGGTAAGGTCACCTTATTTAGGTTAGCCGTGGGTGTAATTTTTTTTTTTTTTTTTTTTTTTTTTTTTAAATAAAAAAAAAAAACAAAAAAAAAAAAAAAAAAAAAAAAAAAAAAAGGGGGGGGGGGGGGGGGGGGGGGGGGGGGTTTTAGGTTTTTTTAGGGGGGGTTTACATACATAAAAATACCAAAGGGGGGGGTTTAAACCCCCAAACCCCCCCCCCCCTGCGTACGCCCCTGTTGTTATTCAAAACACACTAAATATCGTTATTACTGTAATTTATATACAAAAATACTTATCCTATACTAAATCTTTACCACTATAACTATGAATCTCCTATCCCTTTAGTACTCACCGGTGTTTTCCTTCTCATTTCAACCTTTATACCTGAGAAAGACATGATCTCTCTCTCTATTTTATTTATGTTTGTATGAAATGTGTGTTTATCATCTAGTCATATACCTAATCTTTTTAATTCCAGTACTCAGCCCTTCAATGTGAAATTTTAGTGCAATAAACTCCATTTGTCATTCAATTCATTTCAATTTAGTTCGTCTTCAAGATGAACTCTAATTCCTTATAGGAGGAAAACTGCCCGAAACGAAGGGACCGGTAAGTCGATCGCCCCTGTCACTTTTGAGATCGTAAACGGGGAAGAGATCTTTTGAATTAACCGTTTAAAGATAAAATTGACTTCTGTCATGCGATTGCATTGTGAAAGGCACGATTATTGGAAAAGGCTGATCATTTAGCAAATAAACATTGGTGTATTTTGTGAGGCTTTTGAAAATTAAAAATGCTGAAGACCACATTGTACGCAAAAAGTGTGTATGGGACTGCAAACACAAGTCATGGGTCTGTAACATTTAGCTGTTACTTATTTCGAATATGAGGGTATTTGAAAAGCCATTCTTTACACTTTGTTCTATGATACTTTTTTACAATTCCTATGTCCCACTTGCAGGCCCAAAAAATGAAAAGGTTAAATTCCAACGGCATTTGAAAGATAATACTAATTTAGAACTACCCTAAACAAAACAAACAAAAAAGGGGGGGGGGGGGAGTGGGCTTGAAAATGTGAGTGAGTGACTGCCTTTTTTAATTCTTTGGTAAACAACATACATAAAATGAGCTGTAAAGGTACATGAGCATTTGTCTGCGTCAATTACTCACTTCTTGTAATGGCCAAAATAAAACAGATTGAACCTTTTCGCAGCAAAACACATATACGACCATTCGGTACAAGGGTCTGAAAATTAGACTACTACTAAAATGATTGCAATCACTAAAGTCGATTCGACAACAGATGCTCGTTATTTTCCCACTAAAAACATTTCCAAAGCCCTTTCGTATTTGACGGAAGTTCTATTTTTAGGATTGTCTTTCCAATGCCGTTTGAATTTAACCTTTTCATTTTGTTTGGGCCTGCAAATGAAACATAGTGCCTTTAAGAACGTACCTCGTCTGAAGATGCGACAAAGTTGATGGTGTCTGTTGTCAAAGCACGATATTCACTGCGTAGCGCCACCAATCGACGGAACATCTGCAAGACTGAATCTTCGTCTTCTTTTTGAGCCTATAAAACAATATAATAGGGGAAAAGAATCTTATGTTTTATATATCCTGTTGTCTAACTATCATTAAGATTAAAAATAAATTATTAAATAAATATTCAAATTCATCATTTGATATTGCTATATCAATATGTTAAAACCAAACCAAATGTAGCGTATAACCAACCAATCGGACTGACTGCACTTCAATAAATAGTGACAATTTCAAGCATGCATGCGATACCGTTCACAAAAGGCGATTCAACAACATTGGGCTTGTCTGGAAATACTAAATATTGATCGCAATCAGAGGGATGACTTTTCCCAAAATTGAGAATCATTTGCAGCTCAATTGTTACGCCCCCACTCGGCAGACCAAAAATTCAACCAAAAAACCATCGCTTCTGACGTCATACTCCGATCGTCAACTGAAACAAAAAATGTCCTCACAAACAGAGATTAGTATCTTACATTCCGGCCCCTAAATGTGAAGATTTTACTGAACATTTACTTCTCTAATCTCTTCTTATTCTCAACCTGGACTTACAGGTATATACTTTATCCAAAATTCCAAAGGAATCCCAAAATTTAAAACATAGCTATCTATACTGAATGCCTTCATACACCAATTAACAAATAATCTAATTTACATTAATTTTCATGAACACCTAAGCAACCAAACAACTTTCTTTTCAAACGAAAAAGAAAAAAGTTGTTCATGTCTAGATTTCCTTGTTACAACACCAAAAAAGGACTACAATTTCCTTTTCAAATAAACTTACAACAAAGTTGGTTGCCATACTACCTGTATCAATGTATAACATGCTTCAATATTAACTTTATAAATTCCTACATTAAAATATGAAAACCAAAATTTCATTCTAAAAAATCTCTGTTGGCAACTGTTACCACTACAACCACTTCTTTCAATCCCATTCAAACTAAAAAAGAAATCTTGTTATGTGTCACCCAATAAAAGGAAATATTGATTCTCTAATCAACACTATGTACGATTTCACAGATACTGTTTAAAACTGAATTGAATTCACATACCAATTCCAGTACACAGAGTCATGTTGTTGTACCCAAATATAACTTCACAAGACATTATCTGCTAGAAAACATAAATTTTCCTAGTCGAAACTTCCAAGTCCCTACATAGACAAATACATCATCTGCATATACCATTTCAATCTTTCTATACACAATCTGCATATATGACATTATCGATTCTGGTATTACATATTCTACCAAATAGCCAATGCCATGTAATTTGGTTGTCATGGAAACAGTAATAAATGACATATCATCAACACGTATAACTGATTTGAATGTATTCTGCAACTTTAAGCTTTCTCCTCTGGAAATGAACCTAATATAGAATACATACAAATGCATTCATCATATGAATATAAAGGAAAATCACATTTACCATTTCTAATGAATCTAAAGTTTGTTTACAAGGTTGAAAACAAAAACGTTACTTTCCAATATCGTGCAAACATAAATTACACCATGTCAGTCCTGCATTATGGTATAATCCATTTTCGTCTAAATCTTGTTCTTTGACATTCTCTGAGTTATTAAAGGATCAGAATAATATGTATTTCCTCTTCTGACTAAATATCAACTTTGTCTGGCAACATTTTTTTTCTCTTGCTTAGAACTTCTTCTGAAGCGCTGTCCTTTCCTCAAGTTTCTTGTAAAAGTCTCTAAAAGTTCTCTGAAAGTTGCTCAATGTTGACACTTTGTCCCTGACGCTGAAGCACAAAAATTCCTTAATTTCTTGACTGATCAATGATACTCTAATACGCGAAAAAGGATCGCTGTCAGTTCCGCTTTCTGGTTTTAAGAACACAAAACACAAATACCTCTACAATTGGCACGGGACAGCGCTAGGCTTGACCCCTCATCTTAGAAACACAGAAATGTCTTCAAGAATCTGCCTCCAAATTAAATAGAGCTTTGTAACTGGTCTCCCCTCAGTACGCTGGTTCTGGTCTTCACTTCACACTGTCGATCGAAGCCTTTCTCTTCTGGCCATGTCTGAAGGACTCTTCCCAAAGGCCAAACATTGCGGTGTGAGTGCTCGTCGACCACCAGTACCAAATCGTAAACCTGGATGATGAGGGAGGTATCGACATGTTACTTCACCTGGTTGACAATCTTGCTCTTCCGCCTCCTCGACACAACCTTCTGTGTACTTGTAGTGCAGAGCGTCATCTCTACCTAGGTTCCTTCTGAGACTCCGCAACCTTTGTTCTGCTACCCATTGGTTGTCTGTCAAGCTACATGTAGGTCGTTTCTCCTTGAAGGGTATGTGAAACTGGTACTGTTCCATCTCTTTGCACTTCCCTTCATTCTGTATGTCAAGAGTCTTTCTGTCATTCACCGACATTCCTTTGTCTGGAATAGCAGCAGCAGGGCCATGCAAGGACCATCCAAGTACAGTATGTACACTCTCTAAGGGCATCAGGGCAAATGGTGCATCTTGCCCTATCAGGAGTCCCACTTCTTGTCCGCAGGCAAATGGTAGATCCAGCCCCTCTAAGTGCTGCCATCCTTCTAAGTCTGGCATACTGGCCATGTCATCACTCAGTAAGTCGGTCTTCCTGTTGGTAGAAACCTTCTGAAGCTTCACTCTTTCTGTCATGAGACCTGTGTCTACCATACGACTCACAACTTGAGTCTGGATCCTTCCATCAGGATCGTCCAAAGTTGATATGGAAAGTATGTGCTCTTCCCCCTGTGCTGACACTTTCCTTACTAGGCCCTCTGTGCAGAAGAAAGTGGTCGAACCAGAGTCCAGGAGAGCGTAGGTCCGAACACATCCATCTCCATCTGCTGCCTGAACATGCACTGGACCTATGGGAAGTACACATCGCATACCGGCCCCTATGGCGATTCCGTAACTTGCTTCTGACCCAGTTAATATGGAGCCATTCTGTTCTGTGGTTTCACTCTGATTAGTGGTGGTATCATACTTCAAGGGCTCTCCATGCTGGGAGAAGTCCTTGTCTCTTACAGTAGCGCTGACCATGTTGGGTTGCAACTCTGAGGGCCGTCTCAGCTGGTAGACACCCTTCTCTAAATCTGTAGCCATGCTGGGCTCCGTCGTCAAGGCCCCTCTTCGTTGAGAGACATCTTTATCTGCAGCAGCAGTCATGCTCTCTCCACGCTGGGAGAAGTCCTTGTCTGTAGTGCTGACCCTGTTAGGTTGCACCTGTGAGGGCTGTCTCAGCTGGTAGACAGCCTTCTCTAAATCTGTAGCCATGCTGGGCTCCGTCGTCAAGGCCCCTCTTTGTTGGGAGACATCTTTATCTACAGCAGCAGTCATGCTCTCTCCATGCTGGGAGAAAACCTCTTCCTCAGCTTTTGCCATGCTGAGTCTTGTCTGTAACTCAAGCTTACTCCTTCTCTGCTTCAGCTTAAACTCCTCCAGTTCAAGAGCTTGTTGTTCGTTGAGAGCTGCTGCCTGGGCTGCCAAGGCCGCTCTCTTCACCATTGCTTTGACTCTAGCTCTGGAGGTACTGCTTGTGCTGCTCTTGCCAGTCTGGCTTGCTGAATCCCCGGGCTTGACGGACTCTTGATGGGACATATCGCTCATGTTGACTTAAAGCACTGTTGTTGAACTTAATGTAGCGTATAACCAACCAATCGGACTGACTGCACTTCAATAAATAGTGACAATTTCAAGCATGATGCGATACCGTTCACAAAAGGCGATTCAACAACATTGGGCTTGTCTGGAAATACTAAATATTGATCGCAATCAGAGGGATGACTTTTCCCAAAATTGAGAATCATTTGCAGCTCAATTGTTACGCCCCCACTCGGCAGACCAAAAATTCAACCAAAAAACCATCGCTTCTGACGTCATACTCCGATCGTCAACTGAAACAAAAAATGTCCTCACAAACAGAGATTAGTATCTTACACCAAAATTCAAACGAAAAGTTTACCCTGACAAGTAGTATATGTTTTTTTTTAAATTTGTATTCGGCATAATTTGAAAATGTACAATAAACATTACGAGAACTATAATTATGCTCGAAACGCGTAGAAAATGAAATGGATAATAAACAAAATACCTTGCACTGAGAGGCTCTAGTTGAAATTGTGGATAGAGGTGGCCTGAATAGCACTATTTCATAGGGGCATAGCCCCGAAGAAAATAGTGCCATTTCTGTCGCCGAGGAATCCATAATTTTAACTAGTGGCTTGAAATATTGCATGATATATATTTTTTTTTCTTCAAACCAAACTTCATAAAAATAATAATAATTATGTTAACTGTGCACTATACCATGGGTGTTTGGTCACATGATGCTATGTTGACCGATCACTTAACATGATTTCATTGATTAAAAATATAATAAGAAATATTTACCGAGCAGCGTAGACGACAGTACCGCGACCGCGACCGATAGCACATTGATCTTGATCGATCGCATATATATGACGTCATCCATGTGTATAGTGCCATTGTATAGTGCACTATACCATGGATGTTTGGTCACATGATGCTATGTTGACCGATCACTAAACAGGATTTCATTGATTAAAAATATAATAAGAAATATTTACCGCGACATTGACTTGTTGATAGTTAGAATGAACAGGGAGGTATATATAATCTTCTGATGTTGAAAACCCTGCATTCATTGTTGCATCCCACTGCATTGGAGAACGTTCATAATCTCGTGTCTTCAATTGCCATACACTCTGGAAGTGAAAAATATATATCAAAGAACTAAATGAAGGTTTCCGTTAAATAATTGCTTAATGGAGTTTATTATTAAGAATATAATTTTGCTCAAAATGTAGGTGTCTATGAGCTCCTATACCGGTGCCCATCAATTTTGCAATGGATTTTATTTGAATAACAGATAATATGTAGCCAATATCATTTTAATGTCCCCGAGAAGGAGGGGGGGGGGGGGGTCAGTTTTCTCCAGCTTTTGAGTATACATACAGTATAGTCAAACCTGTGTTTCGAGGCATCCAACGGGAAACAGGGAAAGTGGCCGCTGCAGGCGGTGGCCTTTCTAGACAAGTTCTATAACACACATTTATTTTTCTATGGAGACAAAAGATGGACATGGCCTTTTTAAAGAGAGGTGCCCACTCAGACAAGTTTGACTGTGTACTTGAATATATTTGAGATTACAAATTAATGTACAAATCCACCTATATAGGAGATAGCTGTATACCACAGCAGAGTCTTGTATAGGAGGCGAGGGGGTAAAGGTTGTAGCCCCGATAATTTAAAAATTACTTATCATTTAGGGCAACCAACATGAAGGCGCGGGGTGAGCTAATTGTTTTTGGAATAAGTTTCCTATCCTATTTAGATGATAAAATTACATATTCACAAAAAACATGTCTCTAGCTATTCAAGTATCTTCTCCCAGATCGGTGGTTGCAACATTTCCCACCCATCTCTGTTCTCTGCCATCATACTAGGACATGCAGTGTCACTCCATGTCGGGTTTTTATATTCTCCTCCCATGTTGCTTCTCGGCTTCTCTCTTGGTCAATACCTTTTACTTTTCTTTCTAACAAATCTTTCAAGGAACTATGATGTCTTTTAATGTGACCAAGGTATTTTCGCCTTTCTTTCTTTAATTATTGCTATTTTGTTTAAGCCCCACGATATGAAAACAAATTATGTTAATTTTCATATCTGTCTATGCATGATATTCTCATCATTCGTGCATGTACGGAAGAGAAATATTCGTGAAAAAAAGCGTGTGCCCCAATCTGACCTCTTGAAAAGCTGTGTCTGCATCCCGCCCCCCCCCCCCCACTCAGTGTTAGTTAGGGTAGGCATATGCATGTTTCCTTCTTTTTAAAACACCCCCCTATTTAAAGTCCGATGTGTAAAGTCGATACGGGCCGGATTTTTGTGTACTACGAGCCGGACTTTGGAGCGTGAAAAGTACCCCCTTTACCGGACATTTTGGGAACACGCATGGTATCCCTCCGTTCACGGAGTGTGGGGGGGGGGGGGTGGGGAGAGGGGGGAGGTCTGCATGGACGCATTTAATAGTTCTTCAACTAACTAATTGTTAAACCTATTATCTATGACCAATGGATGGTAAAATGAAATAATATTGTTTTTTCTCTTACTGGATCAGTCTTGGCGCGGAGATCCTTCACTTGTTCATACTCTAGGTCCTGTAGATTCTCCATCCCAAGTTCATCACCATAGTAACAGATGGGCGTGCCTGGTAGAGTCAGGAGGAGGATGTTGGCCACTTTGCTGTACTCGGGTGCCAGACGACTGGCAATGCGACTAGCACCATAATTACCAAGCTGAAACATTGAGTATATCAGATATATTTTTTGAATGAGAAAATTATTTGTCATTTTTCGATACAGAAATGGAATGGTTCCTTCAAGATAAACTTTAGTACTGGTAATGCGATTGCATTGTGAAAGAATAGGTGTGGAGAGGATCAGAAACAGTTGATCATGTAGCATGTAAGTATTGGTGTGCACTGCAAAGTTCTAGAGTCATCAAAATCATAATAAATTTGACCGAGTCTTGGTAAAGTAACAAGCACTGTACACAGAAAGCTATATATGGGACAACACACATGGTGTCGGGGCTGGTACTACCTTGATTTCCTTGTCTTTCTATACTCATAACTCAGCCAGTATACATTTTCTTCCAAAATTGTTTGGCACATGTCATTTATTTGTAATCTTGAACATTCAGTGTAAGTTTCGTTTGATTCTGTGAGAATTAATTTTCTTTTTTTTTTTACCAGAACTCAAGTTTATCTTTCAGTACCGATATCTTGATTAGCGAGATATCATAATGCAAGGAATTGGTTTATTATTAAGAAAGCATCAACAAAATACACGTTCACTAATGAACTCAGCCACACTGTGGAGTGTGGAACACATTCAACGTCTCCCCGAATCAACTTTATGCCTATGATATTCAGTAGGGAAACTACCTTTCTTTTGACTAGACTGTAAAAGATTAAAATCAGAGATCTGGGACAGTGTAACTTCTAATTACCCTTAGGAACGGATTATCTTTGGAATATTAAATAACTAAGTGGAGCTGGAATATTACCATGCAGTTCAGTAAATAGAGGATACTCGCCTCCGTGCCTCGACAATGAATCAGGTTTTTCAGAATGTGTGTCGAATTATCTTTGCTGATAATGGTGAACAAACCCCTGATACAGGCGCGGATAGTGAGCACTATTTTTTTTTTTTTTTTGAAAAATCGCACCCCCCCCCTTGAGCGCCAAAGGGGGGGGGGGGAGGGGGGCATCTCCAAAACAGGTAAAATTAACATGTTTTTACACGGTTTTTTCCCAGGGGGGGGGGGGGAGGCCCCCCGGGCCCCACTGGATCCGCCACTGCCCTGATAAGTGTCCAGGTCGTTATAAGAAACTATTAAATGAACATGGTAGATTCTGTCCACAAACTACGCTGGATTGGTGAAACATTAATTCAATTCAATGGTGGTTCTATTTTGACAATTCTTTGAAGCGAAAGCCTGAAATTAGCATCATTCACAATTTGCTCACAACGTGAATACAAAATAGTAAATGACTGAAAACAATTTAATTCTTTAGTTTATATATTTTTATTTAAAATATCTAAAATAGAGAATGAAATTATTAAAAGTGAAAAAGTTATTCTACCCCTGATTTTCTTTAATATCATTATACTATTTTTAAAATCAGTCTATGACATACTGATCGAAATGACATAGTCCTGCAAAAGAAGTGGCAAATTGTATTGAAATAAAGATAGAAATTTAAAAAAAAGTTTTACACTACACATCATGAATACGACAAAAACTGGAACTATTATGTATTTTGAAAAAGCATATTGATATTGTTATTTCAAAATAAAATAAAGATTGAAAGGCCACTTACCTGGAAGTTGGGCCAGTTACCCTCATCCATTACGTCGAGCCACTTTCTAATCAGAGCCTCAAGTTCACGTCCAGTTATCGTCCCACCTTGACCCATGGGGTCTCCCATCTCCAATAGGTTAAAGTTCATTGGTAGATTTGCTCCCGGGTCATTGGAAGTACCGTAATATGACTGGACGTACGTTGTGTTGCTGTCAGAATCAGTCAGCATCACTCTAGAAGAACAAAACATGAATACTAAATGTTATCATTATTGTTTTCGTAAAGCTTAAAATGGCATAGGCCTATCTTTAGGTAATGAAAGAGGTGATTGGAACAAAATCAAAGAATAGTAACGCGGAATATTTCGGCTTTCTGGTCATTCTTGCGATTTACTCTGATGCGTGCAAGACAAAAAGCGTTTGCTATTCTTCGATATCTTTATAAGTTGGAAGAGGGAAGGGAGCAATGATTCATTTCCTCGATATATGGATGGGAAAAACGTATCCTCTCTCACACAATCAAGCTCTTTAAAAATCCCGATGATGAAAATGAAAGCTATGAGTTAACTTTTGTTACTATTTGCGCATCAATAAATAAGACATACTTCATTGCATGGGCATGACGAAATATACAAAATATTGTAATGGAAAATACCCTAAAGATTTCATAGTGTTAGGTTCTTTACCTGTAGGTGCCCGCAGTTGAGAATTTGTAGAAGACACCATCCCTCCAAGTTTGCAATAGTGAATGAGACATGCCATCATATTCTGCTGTGTAATCATGGTGAAGTGATTCGTATTGCTGGAAGAAGAAGGCATATTCATTTCAATTTATCTTCAATTCTGAACTTGGCACAATAATTACTAATAAATGCTAATTGCTGGATATTGTTCAGACTTGTTGCTTCTAAGTATGCAGATGATACAGGTGATGATAGGAGAAAGTAACTGGATGACGAAGTGAAACTGGATATAATTTAGAAACCGGAAATTAATATGAATTCTCAATTATCATTTGTTACACTCTATATTATGATGTGTTTTGCATCGTACAAAAAAAAAAAAGCAGAAAAGAAATCAAAAAGAACCAAAAAAGGGAGCTACCATTACTTCAAACTGAACAGCGCATACATTGCTTTTATTTATTCATGCATTGTATATCACTAATGGATACAAGCTCGGTTAGCACATGCAGGTAATAACGCCAGCGAAATCACGCCACGTGATTTGCATCTCCTTTGGCAACACCTTATTTTGGCTTGCTTTGTATACTGTTCTCTACAAAGTTGGAATAATTTTTTTCTTCTTTTTCATTAAGTTATTGTGAAAATATATTTTTTTGAATAGATAAAATCGTAAAGTTTATATCTTCTAATAAGGTTACTGATCAATCTAAAAGTTTTAGAGATTGAAGAAAAAAAGTTCTGAGACGATATAAACTAATCTATCACGAATAAACCATATTGCCGCAATCATTTCATGAACAGAGGTACGAGTTGTTTCCATCTTTATTGGCAATAGTAAATTTTACTAAATGGAATGAGATGATTACCGAGTGGTTGGAACCGATGGATATGTAATCAGCATTAACAGGTTCATCTGTGAAGTCTGGAGCTTCGTGGAAATACCTGACTCCTCGAATGTTAAATCCATCCACTCCTCGAGTAAACCATCTCTCAAGAGCATCCTGTGTAAAATAAATTCAATAAATGTATAAATAATAACATTTAAAGCAACAACAATGATAATACTAATAGTAATCATAATAATAATAATAATTATGATAATGATAATGATAATAATACAAATCATAATGATATTAATAATAAAAGTGGTGGGTTCTTGTAAAAAGGCTCATGTCTGACACATTGCCAATCCTGGCACAAACCCCGCACTCTGCGGTTCACCTTGTGTTTGACAAAATTTATCTATCTTTAAAGGCATCGTTTAACAATGTTAAATCTGAGATACACGGCTCTACGTGTTAGCAGTGTCTGTGATATGGTGTTAAATTGAAGCCCTAAAAAATTGCGCTTCAAAATGATCAAGAAGTGCCTCAAAAATTTAAAATCTTTGAGTGACCGGTTTTACCATAGTCTTTTCCCCCAATAGACTGTAGTGTTATGAAAACCGTTTGGCAAACGGTTTTCAAAATTTGTAATTCCAATCATAAATATCTTGATAATTAGACAGGCGATCGGCTTGTAAAAGTCATGGGGTTCCTGACTGACCTAAAGGTCTATAATTATCATTGCAGCATGAGCTAAATCCAGAATTTTGTTTCAGAATATAAGACAAAGTTACCATATCCCTTTAAAGAAAAAATAAGGAATTTAAGTTTGATTTATGAAGAAAACAACCCAGATCTATCGGCATACTTGGAATCTGAATCATAATCATAGGCTAATAAATCCTAAGATAACAGTTGATTTGGAAAACTATGATTTTTTTGTACTAAATGATCCTCGGAAATGCGTTTATAAATTATGCAATGGCCTAGTCGATCTTATAGCCAGGTGATATAATTATAGGAAGACTTACTTCCATTACATTTTTTAAAGCAGTCATTTTTGTGTAAAGCTATTGCAGCTTTCTGTGAGAATCCGGCCCGATGATTAATCTCTAAAACCAAATGAAGGTGTTGTGGCCTAGTGAATACGTCACCAGACTGTGGATCACAACGGTTCGTTATTCGAGTCCCGCCGGGGCACTACAGAGTGAGTCAGAAAAAATGTCCCACTTTTTAAAAGTTGTATTGTTTGAAGTATGAATATTTAATCATGAGTTTCATAATATGTCTTGATAGAGTTATCCTCCCAGTACATTTAGGTACCATTTTTATTTGAATCTCTGCATGCATGACTGAACATCAGACAATCTTTACAAGACTGCCAGATCTCACTATCAAGATACATCACGAAACCCATAATTAAATATTCATACTTCAAACAATACAACTTTTAAAAAGTGGGACATTTTTTCTGACTCACTCTGTATAATGCCCTTTTGCAAGACACATTTGCCAAACTCGACCTACGTGAGGGAAATGGGTATACTGTACCTGACAGGTATTAATCAATTCCTTGAATTGCTATAGCATCATAATGACAGCCATGCTATAAGCTGGGGTAATATTGGTGGAATGCCAGGGTTTTGTCTGACAAGCAGACATCAGCACTATACACAAGAACCCACTATTATCATTATTATTGTTATGGAATTTTCTCGAATACCTTACATAAATGTTAACATTCCAAAGCAGAAAGGATTAAGACTTCAAAGTATGTTATATTAGAAGAATATTTTTGTAATGAACATTACCGATAAGTGTGCTCGGACCTCTTCGTTGGCGAGGTCAAGATCGGGTTGATATTCGGAATATTGATGAAGAAAACATTTATCTGCGACATCATCACAATTCCATGCACTGCCACTGTACAAACTTATCTAGAAAGTGAGGGAGGGAAATAACAGCATTATATTTGAAAATGTCAAACAAAAGAAATTTAGATTTTTAGATTTGTATCAAAATATCAAGTATACCCGTTCATGATAAACTCTTGCTGCTGCGAAAGGTGATGAAATAGAAGGAGAAAAAGAGGAGGAAGAAGAGGAAGAAGAAGAAGAAGAAGAGAAGAAGAAGGAGAATAGGTGTTCCTTAGCTGATAAACGCAAACACTTTCTTTCTTCCAATTTTTATTGAGAACACATAACATCAAATATTCACATAATGTTATCATATTAACACACACACAAAAAAAAAACGATTGTGAGGAACATCTTCTATTTTCAATTTCAATTTGTTTTCTTCTATTTCCTTCTATTTTCTAGCCTCGTGTCCATATATGTCCTTGTTAATTTACATTTAAGAGCATCCAAAAATATATTTGGATTGCATTAGGATCGGAGTCTGTTTATAATTATGATCGGTTTTAAAGCCGTTTTGTTTTTGTTTTTAGAATTTGAATAAAATCTGCATCATTATGTAAAAAGAAACTACAATTAAGTTTCCCGAAACTGGGACCTTTGGGTGGTTGGTCATCTTAAATTAATATACAATCGCTTTAGCACAATGTATTTAGGATCTTACCCAATTGTTAGGCTCAGGTGCGTCGGTCCATGTGTAGAATTCTTGATACTTCAAATCGTCATCAGAATCTGGCGTTCCAGCAACTACTTTCCTGCTTTTCTGGAAGAACTCGTGATGGGCACTTGAATGATTCGGAATGAAGTCCAAGATGAGTTTAATATCTGTAAAACAATGGTCGTCTCATTAAAGCATTTCTTTCACAGTGGCGTAGCGTCTTTAAAGGGGCAATGGTTGTCATGGGGTCATGTTTTTTTTCTTCATTTTTACATGCAATTTTTACTGGTTAGATGAAATCTAAAGGAATGTGTGCAGCCTGAGTAAAGGTTCGTATCATTTTCAGGTTATCTATTTCCTTCTTCCCTCCTTCTTTCCCCTCTCTCTGTCTCTCTTTCTCTCTATCTGATAAACGGAAGTTCAAAGGGCATACCCCTAGCTACAACATTGCATAATAATCACAAGTAGAATGATTTACACCTCTTAAAATAGAAAAATTATACTAAAGCTAAGGTATAAACTGTCAAATTGTACTATAAAGTTACTGGCTCCAAACAGACGTATTGGATAAAAAGTAAACCTTCAAATCTATTGACTAATCTTCCTCTTCTGGGAACTTTAGTGAAGAATATAATATGGGCAAAAAAAAAGACAGGGAGAGAGAGAGAGAGAGAGAGAGAGAGAAGGAAAGAGTAAAAAAGAGAGGGGAGGACTGAAACCAGAGGTCGGGGTAGGGGGTAGGGTTGGACATACATGTAATATATATATATCTTCTGTTATATATACAAATCATCATAAAAATGATTACCATTATCATGCAGTACTTGGACGAGTTCCTCAAAATCGTCAATGCTTCCGAGTACATCGTCCACCAAAGTGAAATCGGTGATGTCCTCGCCGTTGTCTCGTCCTCCCGATTTGTAGATCGAAGACAGCAAGACTGCGTTGATTCCTAGATCGTTCTTCAAGTAGTCCACTTTGTTAATGATTCCTGTATGTAAACAAGAAAATCAACTTATTTCTATAGAAATGACAAGGTCATTAAATCCATCACAGAAAAAGGGTGGTTTTCCAAGCGAAAAGTGGACAACCGGAGCATCGTAGAAGTGTGACTCTTAGTCCATGTTTGGCGTTCAACAATAAGGGATAGAGCAACGTCGATCTGGCGCTGCTCAGTGGCTGCCGGGCTCACGATCAATTGGGCAAAAAGAATTTCCGTTTCGGTTTAATAAAATTTGGAGTGGACTATTAGGCTATTATTATTATTATTATTATTAAAAGTACTTTTGCAGCACATAATACATTTCTTTCCCTCCTGAAATTAGGTCAATGGTTATAATAATACAATGTAACCATATTGAAAATTATAGTTCTTTCTTGATGTTAGGGATTTAGTATTCTTAACAAAAGAACAAAAAGAAAAAGTTTCACAATTGGCAATGAAAACTGCCATAACTTGGATAAGATTCTTACACTTTACAATTAGTAGGATGATTAAGTTTTTCGGTAAAGTATCGCTTGCCCGGATGCATCGCCGAGTAGACTTCAGTGATTTAATACAGTCTTACCTTAAGTGCGCTAGAGAATTGAATTAAACACAATAAACGCGTTGACTTTTAGGTCACCCAGTCCAATTATTATAGTCATTTCAATTTTCAAAGAAAGGTGAAAAGCCTCATTGTAATCTCATTTGAATGATGGAAGTGTTCAAAGACAAACTGTGAATCGGAATTCCTGTCTCCTTTCCATGCCTGAAAGCTTGCATTCTTAGTTGAATGTTATATTCATTTGATGGTCAAGTTTTTAAAAATTAATCAGTATCGGAATAAATTGCAGTGGAGTATGCAAAAGGGGGATGTGGGGGGGGGGGGGGTGCGGCTGAACGAAAGATTGAATGGAAGGTTATTAATGTTTCTGAGAGTAGTTTGATTTAGGACTAACCTTGCAAATCCCCAACGCCGTCTCCCCCGATAATAGAGTCGACGTCAGCCGCCGAGTCGGCAAACGACCTCGGGAAGATCTGGTAGACGACAGCGGATTGCCACCACGGCAGACATCTTGGTGTGGTGATGATGAGGAAGATGGCCATACCAAGCATAGCACACCATCCAGCTAGGATGATCAGGAGACATATCCAACGAGCAGCCCGCCATCCGGGGGTTTGGGAGAACTTCAACAGCTCTTCCTTGCCCATACCTGTACCAGAAATAAATAAATAAATACATAAATATTTTTAAAATAAAAAAATAAGCGAACAGTCAAACAAACATACGAATAATTTGATAAATGAATTAATGAATGGAAAATTATACAGATAGTTAGATAGATAGATGGATAGATAGATAAATAAATAGATAAATGAATAAACATCATTATGTCTTTGGTTGTCGTAAATTACTTTGGTCACAAAAAGGTCAGAAAATTGTGCAATTTTCGCCGCCAGCAGATATGGAGTTGCAGAAATAAATAAACCAGATGAGGATATCATCAATTATTCCACTACCTCCTTCTTTAACGTTAATCTCAAATTTTTGTTTTATAAACCAAACCTCTCCATTACGAGATGCTTACATTGTGGCTTTTCATGCTTCTCGATCTATGCTTTTATTATAGCCTTTCAAATTACAGAGATTGTATACATAACTTCAACTCTTGGTGTGTGGAAAACTATCTGAAACTGATCGTGCCGAAAACCAAAGAGATCCTGTTTGATTTCAAGATCAAAGTAAAAAGTAAACCAAGTGACCACCTGCATTTGCAGCCAACATCAAATTCTGTAGAACTTTGCAGGAATTATGAATAAGTCATGTATGTCCTATCTGTGAAATTTAAACATTAGCAGTGTCCTATAGTATTCAAATCATGCAAGGAAACCCGTTTAACTTTTAGACTTTCGTGTCAGACACTACTGAGCGACTGACAGACATCTTTTTTCTTTGGTAATAACATACATAGCAATGTGTACGGCTGTCAAGGTGTGAATGAAAATTATTACAGGCTAAGAAATGGTAAAAGGTGGCATTTGAAGAAATCCCGCACTTCGAGGTACCTGAACTCTTTTGTTCCATACTCTATCCGTCTGTTGAATGAAAATAATGTTAGATGTAAAATGTATGATTCGTATTATATTTTGTTTAATAATTTGATTATAGGAAATTATCAAAAATTTATTTGTATTTATTAGGACAATTATTTATAATTTCTTATAATAGTCATCTTTTAAAAATGAAATTAAAAAGGTCTCTTTTGTATTTATACTCACATGTCATAATATATTTCATGTATATTGATAATGATTATTATTAAATTATATGTGCCTCATTCAATTATTAATACACCCACGCTATGCCACTGTCACAGTACGTGATACATAGCAGTCCTTTATATCGGTAGCAAGTACATCCAAATAAAAACGATTGAATTGATTATAATTTTACTCCATACAGTCATGACCAAATACTCTGTAAAAAAACATTTTACTACAGCTTGCAGTTACTGTAATGAAATTTTGCTTGTATTCAAGGTCTTCTATTAAATCGCCTGGAATATTATAGATTTATTTAAAAAGTTTTTCCCAACTTACAAAAATTTATTTGTATTTATTAGGACAATTATTTATAATTTCTTATAATAGTCATCTTTTAAAAAATCATGGATCATGAATAAATGGGGTAATTGTTATACAGGGTTGTTGCTGAAAAAAAAGGTTTTCAAGTTCAAATTACTCCTGGTTCGATTTTTTTTTTGTCCGACATATTATTTTGTTGTCCACAGAAAAACCTTTCTTCTGATATTTTGCTGTTCTTAAGTTTGGTCACCGTCGTGCAAAGAGGCGTGTACGAGACTTTGCCCGATATACTGTTTGTCTTTAATCTTCTTGTGTTCATCGTCCAATACCAGTTAGTACCGGTTCTTTCTCTCTATCAGTTAAAGATAGAGTATGGTTAATAATTGACAAGGGTTGCTGATCATCCGCACAATTTATGCCCCTCTTAGGTATACAATTGATTTGTTTGATATATTTTCTCTCTCAATCTCAATTTTTATTCCGCCCCAACATAATGTTACGTGAGTGATGGAATCAAAGATTAGTGGGAGAGATATATTCGTAATTTTAACCAGAAGTCATGGTAACATTCTTGCAACCTGTAGACCAATACTCATGTTCTGCTAAAACATACTATTGCATTTGAAAATATCTGAATGTAAATATTTTGTTATTGTCTAGTAAAGAACACAAAGAAACGAACATGTTAAGGATTGAGATGTGTTCGAATGCATTATCATGAGCACCTAACCTTTCAAGTATTATTGTATTACCTTTCAAGTTACATCACGCAGTCACGTGACAGAGAGATGATGTGGCAAATAAATTTATCATAATCATGATTGTGTACTAGAAATATATCTTTTAAAACAAATATCGAGGCAATTATGACGGTGTCAAAGTAGACCCCATCATGTGAGCAAATAGAATACGCCCCGTGTACACGTGAACTTTACACTCAGCAAATCCCATATTAATTGAAGAGCTGATAAAACTCCAGATTGTAATGGTACGAGGTGGTGTTATTTTGTGACGGACAGCATGCAGAGCATTTAGCTATATAAAACAAAAATATTTGTGGACTCCATTAGAGTTTCTAAATTGCATTGCTTATCACAGAAAATAATGCCCAAGAATCCTAGATCGTTAACCAAATTGCCGTTATGTCATTAAAAAAATTGATTTGGCGATGTTAAAGTTTATAAAGCCAATGTTATCATAACAAAACGGGCGACTATTTCATTTCTTTCTTAAGAAAGCGATATGAGGATATCTTGGGTTGGCATACAAATTTGAGAAAGCTTTTCACCAAGCTTTCTCAATGCTCGTGTTAAAATTCATATGATTGTGCCTCTGGTATGAATCTTAAAGTATTGAATAGATGAAACTGAACCAAATTATGAAATGACTCTACAAAACAATCATCAGAGTGAGAGAGCCAGAGGGGGAGAGAGAGAGAGAGAGAGAGAGAGGGAGGGAGAGAGAGAGAGAGAGAGAGAGAGACTCACAGTGAGGAAGAGAAGGGTGATGAAATAACACTAATAATCTTTAATCATGTTGAGCATAAAATTATCTAATAGAAATCGACGAAAGATTCATGAAATGCTCTGTAAGGATAGATTAACTGACGAAGAATAATAGCTGATTTAGAAACACACCTGCGTATGGCCTAGTGCAGAGCTGAGGACTGGTTGAAGATCCTTGTTCAGCATCATTCACCTCACTATAGTGAGAAACTTCCCCCTCAGCTTCTGCCTTTTTCGACGTCTCCGAGTCCTTCATTGTCTCCTTCATTTCCACGTTATCGAAGCCATTGTTATCCATTTCGAGAATGAAATCGCTGTCGACTCCCAGCTAAATGTTAGAAAGAAACCTGTCGTCGATGAAGATCTTTGTGGTCTGCCCTTCTGCCTCCGATCAGCTCAAAACTAATTGTGACGTGAAGGTGAAGATGAGAGACTTTGATTCGATCGCCTTAATAATCGGAATGTGGTGTTATTAGAATGGGTGTTTATGGATCGGGGCGGTATGTGTGTGTGCGTGTGCGTGTGTGTGTGTGTGTATGCGTGTGTGTGTGTGTTTGTGTGTGGGGGTATAATCTGTACATCATAATTGGGAATAGAGGGCAAATGCTATCAAATGAATATTGACAGAAGTCAATATAAGCTTTTCAAGATGACTTCTCTCTCTCTCTCTCTCTCTCTCTCTCTCTCTCTCTCTCTATCTCTCCTCATGAAAAGTCTCAGCGTCGTAGCGTGCATGGTACCAGGGACTTGGGATACTAAGTGGCACTTGTGTCATAGGTAGGGGGGTCGGTCTGGCTAGGTGGGGAAATACGAATTGGGCTACTGACTATGAGGTGGGTGTTGGAATGGTATCTTCTTGTTCATGTTCCCTCTCCCCTCGTCGACTGAGGGCGAAGGCACGCGCCCATCTTACCCCGCCCCCCCTGTTTCTACGTCTCTGAATACGTTTCATGTTTATGAGTTCACAAAGTAAGCTATTCTATAAGACAAGAAGAAGAAAATTAATTATCATGATTATGTTTGTCCAATTCAAAATGAATGAGCTGCCAGACATTAAGATGGTGGCTGCGTCTGCATAGTTAATGTTGTTATATCATTATTAGTTTCATTATTATTGTTATTACTGTTACTATTGTTATAAGTATCATTATCATTAGTAATATCATCATCTTAGTTGTTGTTGTTGTTGTCCTTGTTATTAATAACTGGATTCATCACACAAGCACGCATGCAATTTTGTGTGTATGTATATAAAGAGAGAGAGAGAGAGAGTGAGAGAGAGAGAAAAGGAGAGAGAGAGATGGATAGACAGAGAGAGAGAGAGAGAGAAACAGTCAGACAGAGAGAGAGAGAGAGAGAGAGAGAGGGAGAAAGAGAGAGAAAGAGAGAGAAAGAGAGAGAGAGAGAGAGAGAGAGTCAATATCGCCACCCAATCGCTGGGCGACAACGGGGATAGCTCTTGCATGCGCCGAGCGCGCATAATAACTATTCAGCTAATCTAGATTCATACCAAGAAACAATGGAATGTGTATTATACTGGTTTTGCAGCGTATCAGGACGATTACTCCCTGGAAAATCAGCCCTGGAAATTACCTCCCGGCAAACTACCAATCAAGGACATTGACCCCCCCCCCCCCCGGAAAATTACCCCTATAATTACAGAAAAATTATCCCCGTGGAATAATACCTACCACCCCTGAAAAAATGGAATGTGTATTATAATGGTTTGCTGCGTATCAAGACAACTACTCACTAGGACAACCCCCCCCCCCCCATGGACAAGCAAGGAAATCCAGCCCCGAGACCAATTAACTCCCCCCCCCCCTCCCCCACGAAATTACCTTGCCTGTTCATTAAAGAGAAAACCGGGGTTAATATTATCCGAAGGGTGGTTGTCCGAGTGTGTAATGTAGTTTGCGTTATTATCCAAGGAGGTCATTTTCAGGGGGGGGGGGGGTAATTTTCCTAGGGGATATTTTCAGGGGGTAATTTTCCTAGGGGTTATCCTCAGGGGGTAGTTTTCCGGGGGTTATTTTCCGGGGGTGATTGTCCAGGGGGTAATTGCCCTAGAACCATTTTGCTGCTAAATACGTCAAGTCATTTTCGAAGCCTTTTAGTTACCCCCTTTTACCACGTTATTACGTCAGTTAAAATCCTTCAGCTTAATTAAGTCTGCATATTTTTTTCATGGACATTGAATCCCCCCTCACTAACTTCCTCCTCCCGCGATGGGGGAAGGCAAGGCCCTTTCGCCCCCTTCTTCTTTTCTTCCCTTGCTCTCTTTCCCTTTCTCTCCCTTTTTTCTTTTCCCTTCTTTTCCTTCTCTCGCTCTCTCTCTCTCTTTTCGCTTTAGAAACACAAATGAAAATTACTAAATTTGGTACCTGGCTCAATGATGTTGGCACTAAGATTAATGGTGAAGGTTCATTTGAGACTATAATAGCCGTTATACTGTTTCATTAATGAGATATATCTCGAATCAAATCAAACTGAGTGATGTTATCGAACAGCTTACCAGCATTAAATGTTCATTTTCTAAATAAACCTGGGAAACCTCGGTCTTTGACGTGGTCGTTTCTAACCACGTTTTGGTAGTCAGCCATGCACCTTTAAAAACGACCACGACGTGGTCATTTTTTGACCACGTATTTTTAAGAGTGAGAATGATACCCATTAATGTATTACTAAGTTTGGTGCCTGTCTTAATGGTCTTGGCACCAGTCGCGTACACAGGGGGGGGGGGGGGTTAACCCCCCACTTTGGTATTTTTATGTGTATAAACCAGGGCTCAAATTAATTTTTTGTCCACGGGGGCTCTTCCAAAATAAAAAGCGCCCCCGTGAGCCTTCTCACGGGGGCTCTTTTAGTACAGACGGGGGCTCTTTTTCCATTGAATTGGTGGTACCCATGAAACTCCTAAATTATTTGCTATTTCATCGTTATCATTAATAGTCGGCATTATTTCTCTTACAACTTTACAAGTTATAACATGCAGCTAATGGTCAGATCTCTTCCCTTTGTACGAAATTTCTGGTCCAAGCCCGTATACATACGTATTACTCAATCTGTATAGTGGATATGATCGTCGCAATGTAGTATAGTCAAATTGGAGTTTCCTTTGTTCGTTAGGACTAGTTCTCTTAAACATATACAAGTATTATATAATTTTATGAACACTCGTGAATGCCAGAGGGAAAAACCGTTGCAATCGACTGAAAATTTGAAGTGGAATGTATACTTAAGAGAATTATGTAAATCTATTGCCTATAAAATCTATTCTCTAGGAAAGCTGAGTAAATTCGTAATCCCAGAACTACACTGTGAAAAATTTGGGCAATATTTTTCAACACTTTGCCCAAAGTTGTGCCAATAGTCAACCCAACCATCTATTGGGCAATATTTTCGTATTTTGCCCAACAGCTGGTCAAGATTTTCCCAACAAGTGGGCTACCGTAGTCGGGCAGTTGAAGGGTCATATATTTGCCCAAATTTTGGTAAAAATACGAAACAATTATGCACGTTTGAAGTAGGGTACTTACGTTTACCAATACCACTGGGCAAAATATTGCCCAATAGATGGTTGGGTTGACTATTGGCACAACGTTCGGCAAAGTGTTGAAAAAATATTGCCCAAATTTTTCACAGTGTATTGAACACCCTTTATATACGTGTGTAATCCAACCCTGTATAGACTATGCAATATCTGTATGGGGGAATTGCCCAGCCAGCTACTAGCTGCCCCTTCAGAGATTACAGAAAAGAGCTGCTAGACATGTAACTGGTATCTTTGACTATGAACTTGCAAGCGGCAACACATTGATTAAAAAACTGTCCTGGCAAACTATTGATCAGCGCCGTGATTATTTTCTGGCTATGCTTATGTCTAAATGTATAAGGGGCATTGCTCCACCTCGTTTATCAAATGAAATAGAAATTTATTTCGACCGCCATGGCCTAAACACAAGAAATGCAAACTCCCTTAATGTAGTATTGCCAAAACGCAACGTAACCTTATTCAAACAATCTTTTAAGTATGCTGGAGCGGTTAATTGGAATAAGCTTCCCAATGATATCCAAAATGCCAATTCAGTAGAGAGTTTTAAATATCAATATAAAAAATATTCCTTTGATGGATAAAATTTGTTCACTGCCGTTTCTCCTCACTACTACAACATTATATGCAACAACCTGTAATGATTGCTAACCCAATTACCTAGAAATTTCAAATACCTACATTACGTCCTAAATTTGATATTTATTTTTTTATAATTATGCAATATAAACCATATTTACAACTCATTGGGCTTAATCTCGACATAAAATGTTTATTAACTTCATTGTTATATATCATTCTAATGTAATCGTTTTTATATTGATTTTATATTTTGTCTCCTCTTTTCGTTTTCCCTAAGCTTATTTTTCCTATTTGTGTTGTTTTTGTTTTTTTACCATTTGTATAAAACTGCTATTTTGTTTGTAACTACTCTTAATGTCAGTCTGTATTTGTATTTTCCATCCTTATGCAGGACCATTATGTAAAACAGCCTGCGAGCTGATTAATGTTATCCTGTTAAAAGATTTTTTTTTTTTTTAAATAAAACTTTAGCCTATTTTGTTAATTTGTTTTGTCGCGCCCATATCGCCTTTGTAGTGGATTAAAAGCTGAGCTTGAAAATATATATCTTCACTGTTCTCACGCAGGGGTGATGTCGAGATAGAAACTTGGCCACAAAACACAACTACACTATTCAGAATAAATAGCAGAAGGACAAAAGACATGAAGACCTTGTCAATCTTATCACACAAGAGTAATTAACACTCCTCTTCAGAAAAGTAGAGACCTAGACCAGACCCCCCCCCCCCCCCTGATTTCGCGGAACAAGAAAAAAATGGTTTTAATGGTAATGGTCGACATAAAAACTCTGAGCTCATCCTGTTTTCTATTTAATTATGAATCGAAAGAGAAAATTAGCGCCACCCTTGTAGTTAGTTTCGAAAGATGGATGATGTATATACTGCATGGGCTGTTATCTTATTCTTATTTTGTCCTCGTTGCACGTGCGTGCTTTTCTATTATTTTGACTACAAAATATTTATTGGGATTTAAATATGAATCTGAAAGTTTATTCCTCGAATAACCTTATCTGGATTAATATGACTTTGACATAATATAGTTGTCCTCGCGGTGCACTAAAAGTATTGCACGTAAACAGATTTCGACCTTCCCCTCTTTCCATATTTTTTTTCTCGCTTCCGGAAACGCATTTGTTTTGCTTGATCCAAACACAGAGATATATTAATTTATGGAACCATTTTTTATAGACTGTAAATGCTTAACATAGTTATTTACAGCTGATTCTGCGAACTGTATTTAATAACATAATATTAATGAACAATCTCAGATTTACATGTGTGTGCACTGCAAATTCGTTGTGTAACGACTTTACACAACATTGAATGGTTCAC